AGAAGACCAATTATAGTCAGGAATTCACAAGGCAATGTAAGTCGTGTTGAAGACAGCTAAGTATGTACCCATTAATGCTGAGCGCCAGGCAGGGACCAACAAGTACCATATTTTAACGTCTTTTGGTACGACACAGTCGGCGATCGAACCCGCTCTAACCACTCCACTACGGAGACGGACGTTTGTTTTAGGGTAGTGTTAAAGATGTTCAAGGAATTTGTTTTACAGTAACATGTTTTTGTTGTCAGGTTTGTCAGCAAAGCAGCAAAGCTCTCGAGTTTCACGAAAGTGGTTAGTCTCTCTCTCTCTCTCTCTCTCACTCACTCACTCACCATACCAAACGTTAAAGGAGCAACCCAACACCAGCAAGTAAATGATGACATTTTTACAAACATTTCCCAAAACTAACACACATCAAGTTGGTATGGCAACCTTTTATTCAGACAGTATCTACAATACAAACAACAACTTAAAACTGTCTATGTGTATGAGCAACTCCAAATAATACTGTTATCTATCTCCACTGAACAAATCCAGTTAATAAAAAATCCTCGTCTAATAATTTAAATTTGCTGCACCTTTAACACAGCTACAGCGTATTACACTGTACATCATGACACTGGTGTATATATCACTATAATGACTAGCACACAATGCAGGTTAACACTTATCTACTGCATGTATTCCCTTGCTGTTAGAACTAGATGTGCTAACAGACTCAAAACAATATAGCTGTACAGGGATCAGAAATCTGGCCCATTATGAATTGACACATAAGGACAAAAAGAGTCCTACATAACCCTTCAGGATAGTTAATGGACAATAAGGCAGTAAGGACATTATTTAATATAATTTAATATAGAAACTGAACAATTCTACAACTGTTACTGTTACAAATAGGGATAGGTGTAGAAATCTCTTCTTGATATTCTGATGTACCGTAGAACGGAGTTGTCCATAGATTTCAAGATTATGTACACAACAGAAAAAGCAAATCCATTCAACACAGTCATCCTGCAACAAAGTCATGTTAAAGCTGAGATTCTTGCAAACAATAACAGCAATGCTTAATACTGGACTGGAAAATAGAAGGGAGAGATTCTGTCACAAGTGTTTGATGTAAAGAGATAACAAATATATTATAGTGATTTACCCATGAGGGACCATAATTTATGGCTAGGGGGGTGATGATGATTTTCGGGGTGAGGTCACCCATTTTGTACCCATGTACCGGGGTTGGGGGTGTCAGCATTTTGTACATAAAACTATCTAAAAATTATGCTTAAAACTTATGGGAAGGGGGTCGGGGGTCATTGATTTTGTACATGACATGCATGACATGGGGTGTCATTCACATTGGACATGCTTCTCCATACAAATCATCCTCACTCCCCCTGGCCATACCCTATGAACAGTCCTTAAGCAGCATGTTCATGTTGAAACAAGCAGTATGACAGCATGTCTCACAAAATGCAGATTCAGATCCATCAGTTGATATCACACAGTGTAACTATGGCGACAATGTCTATTGTCCTACTACTAATGCTATTTGCATAATGCCCTCCCACACACACTATTCATCGCACCTACAGAATTTATTTACCGTACATCTAGGATGATGCCAGGCAGCCATTTAATGCCAGTTCTTTAATACCATGATATGTTGGCAATTAACAATAATCGTTTCCCGCCAATGATCAGGTTTGAACCACTTCGACTGCAGATTTTACAACTTATTGAGGTAGTGAATAGCTACAGTTAAAGCTTTAAGCAGAATAGCTGCCAGGCCTCCCAATAGATACCAAGTCAATACTGTGCATGAAGTTAATTGAAGCACTATACAGGAGTGAGTGAGTGAGTTACACTGCTTTTAGCAATATTCCAGCAATATCACAGCAGGGGAAACCAGAAATGGGCACATTACATGAAATGCAGTATGTCATTCCCATCACAAAAGAAACATCATCAATGGAGATTCTAACAAAAATGGAAGTCCTGTCAGAAGCTTAACAGTAGCCGTTTCAAGCATCACAGGGCACAACTACCTTATATGGGAATGTGTTACTGCTTGTTGCTTAGCAGCAATATGAACATGGTCCTAGTATGCAACTAATTCAAATACAAAATAATTGTTCAGTAATTACTTCTATGTAAAAGTTACATGCATACAAGGATGATGACGGAGCACTACATTTGGATATATATATATAAAACACAGATATAGATATATAATGATATAGGTCAAATGACTATTTCAAACCACTCCCAAAATATGTATAAACTGTATAAAAGTAGCACTGTATTAGTAAACTAAAAGTAACCGGAAAATATATTCAAAAGTGTCATTAATATAGTAAGGATAACAAGTGTTTGTCACTGATGCGGCAATGTCCCCCGCCGCTAAAGAATGGAATATCTATATTTACTACTTTTTATTTTTGGGTCACATACAAGATGCCTGAAATGACTGGTGTCTGCATAATCACCCAATGTAGACTGCCAACATACTTGAAAACATTGGGTGCAATTTTTTATGAGATATCGCCTTTAACGGTCAAAGTATCGTGGTGACCTTGAAGATAAGGTCAAGGTCACCCAAATAAACTGCTGTCTGTGTAATACCCCAATGTACACTGCCACCAAAATTTGAAGACATTGGGTACAACAGTCCATGAGATATCACGTTAACGACAATTTGAAAAGTGGTCAGTGTCGTGGTGACCTTGAAAATAAGGTCAAGGTCACCCAAATCGACTGGTGTCGGCGTAATCACCCAATGTAGGCTGTCACCAAATTTGAAGACATTGGGTACAACATTTCATGAGATATCGCGTTAACGACAATTTGAAATGTGGTCAAAGTGTCGTGGTGACCTTGAAAATAAGGTCAAGGTCACCCAAGTCGACTGGTGTGTGCGTAATCACCCAATGTAGGCTGTCACCAAATTTGAAGACATTGGGTACAACATTTCATGAGATATCGCGTTAACAAGAGTTTGAAAAGTGGTCAAAGTGTCGTGGTGACCTTGACAATAAGGTCACGGTCACCCAAATCGACTGGTGTCTGCGTAATATCCCAATGTAGGCTATCACCAAATTTGAAGACATTGGGTACAACAGTTCATGAGATATCGCGTTAACAAGAATCGGGACGTACGGACGGACGGACGCCACTGAATACATAGTCCCCCATTCCGCGTTGCGGCTGGGGACAACAACAGAAGCAACCACACACTGGCACCCTCGGTCTAGGAATGACAAGTCTTTATGGATGATCAACTTATTTATGCAAAAGCGATGTTTCGGTATAGATACTTATACTGTTTTCAAGCATTATGCTTGAAAACAGTATACGTGTCGACCGAAATGTCGCTGTTGCACAATAAAGAAGTTGATCATCCATAAAGACTTGTCATTCCTATTACAACTTCTAAAATGTCACTCAAACAGTTCACCTTCTGTCTAATCAGTCCAGTCAAACTGGGGAATTGAAAATTTTAATATAAATTGCATCCTATCTCACGGTATGCACTTCTCTCTCTTGATTCGACAATGAGTGGAACAATGTAAACTTTTTTCCCTAGGCCTCTCTTGTCCATCCGCCCAAGCACTTCATGCTACCCTCATTATAAGGCAGCTTCCTAGCTCTCATGCAAAGCATGTGGCATGCACTACTAGCAGCCCACGTGATTATCTCCGAATCATCATTCTCATTCTTGGAGCCACTGGATAATATCCATCTTGGAGAATCTGCATAGTGGGGAGGATGGGTGGGAATCCGTTGTGTGAGATAGGATAATATAATTTACATTAAAATTTGATTTTTTAAAACTTATCCCATCTCATGGTATGCACTTATCCCACGGTTGGACGGCGGGATGCAGATACCCTGTGTCTTAACAGTGCTGACAGCAGGAACTGTGTAAGACTGGAAATGACCGTAGATAGCGATGCACCACTACCCGGGATGTGGTCGAAGATGAAGTGACTCGGGCTGGAATTTTTAAAGCCCAACAAAAGCCGAATGTCTTCCGTTGAGTAAGAATCTGACGACGCTCTCATGAAATCCCCTTCATTCGAGTGAGGGGACTGTGACCGCCGAGCAGACAAAATAGGACACTTAAACTTTCTTGGAGGGACTGGGTCCGTCAGGTGAAGCGGCATATCAAGCCCTGTCAGTGACACGACGAGCGCAAGCCCAAGTGTAGTCACCAAGTAAGAACCTTGCATTTATCGCAACGAGAGTCCCATTTACACTGTCCCATACAGTCAATACAATATCCATGTGGATCACTCACGGAGAACGCTTATTACACCGGGAGCATTTTTTCCTCTTCTTTGGCTGGTCAACTTTCCCCATGTTGTAGACTAAGTTGAAAACGTTGAGCAAAGCAAAATACGTCCACACTCGTGTGCGACAAGAAAGAGAAGGATGAATCGAAGATAGTCATGTGGGCAGCTAGTGGTGCATGCCGCATGCTTTGCATGAGAGCTAGGAAGCTGTCTTTTAATGAGGGTAGCATGGAGTGCTTGGGCGGATGGACAAGAGAGGCCTAGGGAAAAAAGTTTACATCATTCACTCAGTGTCGAATCAAGAGAGAGAAGTGCATACCGTGAGATAGGATAAGTTTAAAAATTAAATGTATCCAAAAACTAGTGAAATGTCCATAGCTAAGTCACACAAATATCTCTAATCTGTTCTTGTATCCATTCACTTCCACTTTGAAATACAAGATAACATGATGCCATGACATGAACATTGTGGGTTATGAAATATTGCTTGATTTCCACTACAAACAATGACAATGAATATGAGGTGCAGGTAGTGCACAGATATGCAGACACCCCCATAACTAAATTCACTCATGTTTCTACGATGTTGTAGAATCAGTGTATTCCAATCAAACTTTGCATCATAAAAAAACATCAATATCCAAAATTTCAACATGTCATCCGAGACCCAAATAATTTTGAGTTGATCAATCTATATATTAAAATATATTTTTCCATTTAGTTAATACATGTATATAAAAATATAGGCCTTTATGGAGGGGTGCACTACCATCATTTTGGAAGCAAACGTTTCCATATATGGAAATATAAGCGGCAATATTTCAAGACACTAGTGCAACTCACCTGAAGATATATTATAACAATAACACAACTACCAAGCACATGTTGCTTCACAAAGTATCCAGCACTTGTATGATTTATCACATGTTTGTACCATTTGAGTCCCACAAACAAGCATCCCTACATGCAGCCCCTAAAGTTTATATGTCGTATTGACTGCTTATCAACTGTGATATGAAAAATATCAATTTCCTGAACACTGATTGGTTAATTATTATTGGACTACAGAATATACCTAATCTAAAATAGCATCAAAATTATAATTGTTACACTGAACGTGCAGGTGCTTCCCCTTCATTCCATGAAACATCTAACACAATCCCGTCATACTACTAAAATAGTGCTAAGAGACGCCCAATTCTTTTATATTACAATAGTCATTTTGTCATACTATGGCATATTAATTGTAATACTATATACTTATCAACTGCCTGATTTACTATGACAATATGAAAGAATCATCATATCAAAGTAATATGAGTTGTGAATATTTGGAAGCAGAAAGGTTAGAGAATGCAATAACTTGATCACACCATCACAAATGTCAACACACATGAATGGAAATATATTCTTTGCTATAAAAAGAAAATATCTATGCTTTATATTTCCATCTCCATGAATTATCATATTGTTATCAACTACATCTTAGCAGAAAATCGCTGTCAGGTAGATATCAAGTCGCACTCACGTGAAGGCGGTGTCCCACAATCGCCCTGTCATGTCGCAACTTATGAAGATATAGCATTAAAAATATATCCGATGTCTGCATTGTACTTTCTCCACCAACCCCAGCATGACACTTCTATATTTGTCAGAAGTAGTATGTCTGATTTGGGGTGTATCAACTGTTCTTCCTCCTGGCAGATACTGCTGTCCTAAACACACATTACAGTAAACTGATCTTCTCCGTGCAGCGAATGCCCTCTTGGTGAAGGCGTGACATAACGGGTTGGTAGACATTCCTGGACAATGGAATGACGATGCCCTTCTCCTGAATCTCCCCTGGAAAATAGTGCAGCACTAATAAATACACCATTCTTGTGTGGCACCATGTCAATCTGTTTTACCAAAACAGTGCAGCCACCTCACTTCACCCATCTTACCGCAGCCACCTCACTGGCTGCATTGACCTTCAGGATTTTCTTGGTGGCAAGCTACTTGATGTCGCTCTCACCTCGCCCTCCCTCACAATGCCTGACTGTATAGCACTGACCTTCCAGGGTCACTCACTCGCTCAACCCCCACCCACCAGTCACTCACTGTCACTCACAATGGCTGAGTGTATAGCTGACCTCCTAGGGTCACTCACTCGCTCGCTTGACCTCCCACCCACCACTCACTCACTAACTCACTCACTCACAATGCCTGAGTGTATAGCACTGACCTTCCAGGGTCACTCACTCACTGGGCCACCCACCGCCCACCACTCACCTCACTCACAATGCCTGAGTGTGTAGCTGAACTTCCAGGGTCACTCACTCGGCCACCAGCCCACCCACCACCCACCACCACTCACTCACTGTCACACACAATGCCTGAGTGTATAGCACTGACCTTCCAGGGCCACTCACTCACTGCTCGACCATCCGCCCACCACCACCACTCACTCACTCACTCACAATGCCTGACTATACTGACTTTCCAGTCACTCACTCACTCAACCATCCCACCACCACTCACTCACTCACTCACAATGCCTGAGTGTATAGCACTGACCTTCCAGGGCCACTCACTCACTCGCTCGACCATCCGCCCACCCACCACTCACTCACTCACTCACTCACTGTCACTCACAATGCCTCAGTGTATAGCACTGACCTTCCAGGGTCACTCACTCACTCGCTCGACCATCCGCCCACCCACCACTCACTCACTCACTCACTGACTGTCACTCACAATGCCTGAGTGTGTAGCACTGACCTTCCAGGGTCACTCACTCACTCGCTCGACCGCTCACCCACCACTCACTCACTCACAATGCCTGAGTGTATAGCACTGACCTTCCAGGGCCACTCACTCACTCGCTCGACCACTCACCCACCACTCACTCACTCACAATGCCTGACTGTACAGGACTTTCCAGGGTCACTCACTCAACCTCCCACCCACCACTCACTCACTCACAATGCCTGAGTGTATAGCACTGACCTTCCAGGGCCACTCACTTACTCGCTCGACCACTCACCCACCACTCACTCACTCACAATGCCTGACTGTACAGTATTGACTTTCCAAGGTCACTCACTCACATACTCACCCGCCCGACCATCACTCAAACACCCACCACTCACTCACTCCACCCACCACCTGATGCCTGACTGTATAGCACTGACCTTCCAGGATCATCTTGGCGGCGATGCCTGATGGCATCCCGACAGTCTTGGCCATGGCAGAGTAGCCTTCCTGGTCTCCATACACCACCAGGTTGAGCTGCCGCTGCTCCAGAGACCCATCTGGCCACGAGATGCCAATGTCATGACGCATCAGCAGCAGGTCACGCTCCATGGGGCCTGGTGGGCACATCATCAGCATGATATCAACAGTGCACACAGTTGTCAACAGATGCTTAAGAATTTCTAACAACATATTTTGTGGGTTGAGAATAAATACTTTTTTGGTTCTAGTGCAATCCTGATGATAACCAGGAAAAATTTCCTGTACATGGAACTTTAAGGTTTGCTGCCCCTGTGTCTGGTAGCAATACAGTGCATATTCTGAGTTGCAAGCATTATTGGACCCCTACAGTATACATTCTTCTGTTATCCATAATGACTACAACCCTCTTACCCAGGTACGTGCTGAAAGATGGCAGGTTGCCACGACCACAACCAGTCTTACCTTAGGCCAATCTCCTGCCCAGGTAGGAGCTGAAAGTGTCTTTGGGGTTGTCATGACAACACATCTTACCGCAGGCCAGAGTCCTGGCCAGGTAGGAGCTGAAAGTGTCCATGGGGTTGCCATGACTACAACCCATCTTACCGTAGGCCAGTCTTCAGTTGAGGTATGAGCTGAAAGTGTCCATCGGGTTGCCATGACTACAACCCATCTTACCGTAGGCCAGTCTTCAGGTGAGGTATGAGCTGAAAGTGTCCATGGGGTTGCCATGATTACAACCCATCTTACCGTAGGCCAGCCTCCTGGCCAGGCAGGAGCTGAAAGTGTCCATGGGGTTGCCATGATTACAACCCATCTTACCAAAGACCAGCCTCCAGGCCCAAAGGCCATGGGGTTGCCATGATTACAACCCATCTTACCGTAGGCCAGCCTCCGGGCCAGGTAGGAGCTGAAAGTGTCCATGGGGTTGCCATGATTACAACCCATCTTACCGTAGGCCAGCCTCCGGGCCAGGTAGGAGCTGAAAGTGTCCATGGGGTTGCCATGATTACAACCCATCTTACCGTAGGCCAGCCTCCGGGCCAGGTAGGAGCTGAAAGTGTCCATGGGGTTGCCATGATTACAACCCATCTTACCGTGAGGCCAGCCTCCGGGCAGGGTAGCAGCTGAAAGTGTCCATGGGGTTGCCATGATTACAACCCATCTACCAAAGACCAGCCTCAGGCCAGGTAGGAGGGTGTCCATGGGGTTGCCATGATTACAACCCATCTCTACCGTAGGCCAGCCTCGGGCCAGGTAGGAGCTGAAAGTGTCCATGGGGTTGCCATGATTACAACCCATCTTTAGCCTCTCCGGGCCAGGTAGGGCCAGTGTCCATGGGGTTGCCATGATTACAACCCATCTTGAGGCCAGTCTCTCGGTCCATGGGGCTTGCCATGATTACAACCCATCTTACCGTAGGGGCCAGCCTCTGAAAGGCCAGGTAGGAGCTGAAAGTGTCCATGGGGGTGCCATGATTACAACCCATCTTACCGTGTAGGCCAGCCTCGGGCCATGGTAGGAGCTGAAAGTGTCCATTGGGTTGCCATCTTACAACCGATCGAGGCCAGCCTCCGGGCCAGGTAGGAGCTGAAAGTGTCCATGGGGTTGCCATGACTACAACCCATCTTACCGTCCAGGTAGGAGCTGAAAGTGTCCATTGGGTTAGGACACCCATCATCCTGGAGGCCAGCCCGGGCCAGGTAGGAGCTGAAAGTGTCCATTGGGTTGCCATGACTACAACCCATCTTACCGTAGGCCAGCCTCCGGGCCAGGTAGGAGCTGAAAGTGTCCATTGGGTTGCCATGACTACAACCCATCTTACCGTAGGCCAGCCTCCGGGCCAGGTAGGAGCTGAAAGTGTCCATGGGGTTGCCATGATTACAACCCATCTTACCGTAGGCCAGCCTCCGGGCCAGGTAGGAGCTGAAAGTGTCCATGGGGTTGCCATGATTACAACCCATCTTACCGTAGGCCAGCCTCCGGGCCAGGTAGGAGCTGAAAGTGTCCATTGGGGTTGCCATGATTACAACCCATCTTACCGTAGGCCAGCCTCCGGGCCAGGTAGGAGCTGAAAGTGTCCATGGGGTTGCCCTTCTTCTCTATTATCTCATCCCCGAGGAGGCCGAGACTGGAACAGACATGTGGACAACCTATCTCATGGTGTATCATGTCTGTTCATGCTGAATCATGTCATTCCTGTTCAAACACAAGCTAAGATTGATTCCACACACAGTGCTCTTTAATATTTGCTTTACTTGTATGGTCTGTGGTGTTTCAGCATTTCTGACAACTCCAATGGCACACTTAATTTGCCTCAAGCATTAATCCGAGAAACTCATTCACTTTATCAGGATGTGGACAACATATTCCAGGTATTGTCTCAGGTCACCTTACCTGATGATGGTGTCAAGCATGTGATCATTACGCCCCAACTTCTCATACACAAGGTCCTTCAAACTGTCCCCAAATATGTCATGTGACTTGCCGAACATGTTGCTCATGAATCCCTTCTGCAAAACACATGACATGCAAAAACATACTTTTTGTGAAGCAAATCCAGAATATGCATATCTCTGAAAATAAGAATGCAACAATGATCACTATCACCTGTTGTCTGTTTACATCCTGGACAGTTACAAACATATGACTAATGCATAATCAAAGTGTCATTAAATATCTGGCTAACTACCCGTATGACATTACCCACAGTACCAACCCATTTGGCATGACCCTATAGGACCTACCCATGAGATATGACCCCCTGTTTGACATGACCAACCACCACAAGCCCAATGTGACATGAGCCCCTATGACCTACCCATGTGATATGAGCCCTTATGACCTACCCATGTGATATGAGCCCTTATGACCTACCCATGTGATATGAGCCCCTATGACCTACCCATGTGATATGAGCCCCTATGACCTACCCATGAGATATGAGCCCCTATGACCTGACCATGAGATATGAGCCCATATGACCTACCCATGTGATATGAGCCCTTATGACCTACCCATGAGACATGAACCCCTATGACCTACCCATGAGATATGAGCCCCTATGACCTGACCCTGAGATATGAGCCCATATGACCTACCCATGTGATATGAGCCCTTATGACCTACCCATGAGACATGAACCCCTATGACCTACCCAAGTGATGTCAGGTCCACCTGGGTGCAGTGAAGGATGAGGGTCCAGGTCCATCAGCCCCAGCTGCATCAAGCCCTTGATGGCCGTGCTGTACCCCTGCAGTCAATGGAATCCTGAGTTAGTCACTACACAAGCTCTTAAACCCACTGTGTACACAGCTGACAGCTGGCACAGGACATCATGTATACGCTGCTTCATCATGTTCATCAGGGTCTGCCGCCTGTCCACATAGTGTCACTGTCAGACAGTATCCTTGTGGAGATGAGTTAATACAGTCTGATGTACGCCTCTTTGTAGCAGTGTTAGGCGAGGTTTAACACTGCTACAAAGAGGTGTACATCAAACTGTATTACCTGAGGGAGAAGCATACAACTTATTTATCTTAATGCCATGTTAAATGTACAAAATATCATTTTATTTTATTTTGAAGATCGCTACCCACTATATTACATGTTAACAAAATGGTGTCTGCCTCTCGACTGGATTTTTGAAATCAGTGAAACATATTCTGACAAGATTAAAACTGCTATGAAAATGGTTAGTTATGTTTAAGTTGAGTGTGGAAACGATTCAAGGCATTCAATAGTTTAAATAAAGCAGTGAAAGTCGGTAAAATAAATGTTTACATAGTGAACTCAAAAACAGCTAACCAAACGGTTTTCGAACTCCGGGGGCTGAATGCGTCATATTATGACGTCATACCATTGTTAGCAATACAGCTTCTCGACGGAGAGTTTGGCGGTTACCATGGCAGCGGGTAATATTTTTTCCAGTTGTCACCCTCCTGGGAGGGGTGACACGGAAACTTGTTAACGCATCATTGACCAATGAAATTAAAGTATTTCACATGAAGGTAAGATAATACTTATTGTCAGTCAAGGCACACAGTCCTTACCTCATATATCACAAACCTTTAGATGTACTTTCACAAAACAGTTTCCTTATGGCAAATATCAGATTCCTAAGCACAAACATAAATGTAACCATTACCTCAAACACCTTGCTTTTTGAGGTCCATGGCCTCTTTCCCTCTCTCATCAGATGGTGTCCCTGAGCACAACTGAATCAGTTTTACTGGTGCTCAGTCACACTTTACATCTATGCTGATGGTGCCCAGTTCACCCAGCTTTATATCAGCTAGTGCCCTACAGCACTCTTTATCTCATATATGAGGGTGGTCCTTAGCTCACCTTACCTCATATCTGATGGTGCCCCTAAGCTAACCTTTCCTCATATCTGATGGTGTTCCTTAGCTCACCTTTCCTCATATCTGATGGTGTTCCCTAGCTCACCTTACCTCATATCTGATGGTGTTCCCTAGCTCACCTTTCCTCATATCTGATGGTGGTCCTTAGCTCACCTTACCTAATATATCTGATGGTGTTCCCTAGCTCACCTTTCCTCATATCTGATGGTGTTCCCTAGCTCACCTTACCTCATATCTGATGGTGTTCCTTAGCTAACCTTTCCTCATATCTGATGGTGTTCCTTAGCTCACCTTACCTCATATCTGATGGTGTTCCTTAGCTAAACTTTCCTCATATCTGATGGTGTTCCCTAGCTCACCTTACCTCATATCTGATGGTGTTCTTTAGCTAAACTTTCCTCATATCTGATGGTGTTCCCTAGCTCACCTTACCTCATATCTGATGGTGTTCCCTAGCTCACCTTTCCTCATATCTGATGGTGGTCCTTAGCTCACCTTACCTCATATCTGATGGTGTTCCCTAGCTCACCTTTCCTCATATCTGATGGTGTTCCCTAGCTCACCTTACCTCATATCTGATGGTGTTCCTTAGCTAACCTTTCCTCATATCTGATGGTGTTCCTTAGCTCACCTTACCTCATATCTGATGGTGTTCCTTAGCTAAACTTTCCTCATATCTGATGGTGTTCCCTAGCTCACCTTACCTCATATCTGATGGTGTTCTTTAGCTAAACTTTCCTCATATCTGATGGTATTTCCTTAGCTCACCTTACCTCATATCTGATGGTGTTCCTTAACTCACCTTTCCTCATATCTGATGGTGTTCCTTAGCTCACCTTTCCTCATATCTGATGGTGTTCCTTAGCTCACCTTACCTCATATCTAATGGTGCCCCTTAGCTAAACTTTCCTGATATCTGATGGTGTTTCTTAGTTCACCTTTCCTCATATCTGATGGTGTTCCTTAGCTCACCTTACCTCATATCTGATGGTGTTCCTTAGCTAACCTTTCCTCATATCTGATGGTGTTCCTTAGCTCACCTTACCTCATATCTAATGGTGCCCCTTAGCTAAACTTTCCTCATATCTGATGGTGTTCCTTAGCTCACCTTTCCTCATATCTGATGGTGTTTCTTAGTTCACCTTTCCTCATATCTGATGGTGTTCCTTAGCTCACCTTTCCTCATATCTGATGGTGTTCCTTAGCTAACCTTTCCTCATATCTGATGGTGTTCCTTAGCTCACCTTACCTCATATCTGATGGTGTTCCTTAGCTAAACTTTCCTCATATCTGATGGTGTTCCTTAGCTAACCTTTCCTCATATCTGATGGTGTTCCTTAGCTCACCTTACCTCATATCTGATGGTGTTCCTTAGCTCACCTTTCCTCATATCTGATGGTGTTCCTTAGCTCACCTTACCTCATATCTAATGGTGCCCCTTAGCTAAACTTTCCTCATATCTGATGGTGTTCTTAGCTCACCTTTCCTCATATCTGATGGTGTTCCTTAGCTCACCTTTCCTCATATCTGATGGTGTTTCTTAGCACACCTTTATTCATATCTGATGGTGTTCCTTAGCTCACCTTTCCTCATATCTGATGGTGTTCCTTAGCTAACTTTTCCTCATATCTGATGGTGTTCCTTAACTCACCTTACCTCATATCTGATGGTGTTCCTTAGCTAACTTTTCCTCATATCTGATGGTGTTCCTTAGCTCACCTTACCTCATATCTGATGGTGTTCCTTAGCTAACCTTTCCTCATATCTGATGGTGTTCCTTAGCTCACCTTTCCTCATATCTGATGGTGTTTCTTAGCTCACCTTTCCTCATATCTGATGGTGTTCCTTAGCTCACCTTTCCTCATATCTGATGGTGTTCCTTAGCTCACCTTTCCTCATATCTAATGGTGTTCCTTAGCTAACCTTTCCTCATATCTGATGGTGTTCCTTAGCCAACCTTTCCTCATATCTGATGGTGTTCCTTAGCTCACCTTACCTCATATCTGATGGTGTTCCTTAGATCACCTTACCTCATATCTGATGGTGTTCCTTAGCTAACCTTTCCTCATATCTGATGGTGTTCCTTAGCTCACCTTTCCTCATATCTGATGGTGTTCCTTAGCTCACCTTTCCTCATATCTGATGGTGTTTCTTAGCTCACCTTTCCTCATATCTGATGGTGTTCCTTAGCTCACCTTTCCTCATATCTAATGGTGTTCCTTAGCTAACCTTTCCTCATATCTGATGGTGTTCTTAGCTCACCTTTCCTCATATCTGATGGTGTTCCTTAGCTCACCTTACCTCATATCTGATGGTGTTCCTTAGCTAACCTTTCCTCATATCTGATGGTGTTCCTTAGCTCACCTTTCCTCATATCTGATGGTGTTTCTTAGCTCACCTTTCCTCATATCTGATGGTGTTCCTTAGCTCACCTTTCCTCATATCTGATGGTGTTCCTTAGCTCACCTTTCCTCATATCTAATGGTGTTCCTTAGCTAACCTTTCCTCATATCTGATGGTGTTCCTTAGCCAACCTTTCCTCATATCTGATGGTGTTCCTTAGCTCACCTTACCTCATATCTGATGGTGTTCCTTAGATCACCTTACCTCATATCTGATGGTGTTCCTTAGCTAACCTTTCCTCATATCTGATGGTGTTCCTTAGCTCACCTTTCCTCATATCTGATGGTGTTCCTAAGCTCACCTTTCCTCATATCTGATGGTGTTTCTTAGCTCACCTTTCCTCATATCTGATGGTGTTCCTTAGCTCACCTTTCCTCATATCTAATGGTGTTCCTTAGCTAACCTTTCCTCATATCTGATGGTGTTCCTTAGCCAACCTTTCCTCATATCTGATGGTGTTCCTTAGCTCACCTTACCTCATATCTGATGGTGTTCCTTAGATCACCTTACCTCATATCTGATGGTGCCCCTGAGCACAGTGTCTGCAGATTCAATGCCATATTTCTTGATGTAGGCAGTTGAGTCTCTGTTGGGATAGCCCTCCAGGTTGAAGCCAGGCATGAATTTGAGGGACTCCACAGCCTCCAGTAGGCCGCCACCCGGGGTCACCTCCACTATCTGCATCAGAGAACATGAGTCACCCTTCCCTCACAGACTGCTACTTTACATTACATTAACTTCTAAATACAACATATTATATTTCTAAATACACTATCTAATATGTCTGTACGAAAAATTTTAATACAATTGTCAATCATTAAAATTTTACACATTTGTGATATTACTGGAATATATTTTATTCAGTTAGACATATTTTTACATGTAATTTTCGAAAGGGTTACCTAAGAATGAGGAAGGCGATCAGACCCCTTCAATTAGATGTATTACTCAAAGCAAGCCATTAATGTATTTACCTGTTTGTTTTTCAGGTATTTCGCACCTGCGAGACAGTTCATCAAAACACCTCGTGGGAACCAACTACAACAGTAAAGCAGTTTTCAATGAGAAAGGGCTGATTGTTGCCTATAGTTAAGTTGAACATGTTTACTGATCTGACGAGCATAAGGTATTGGGAGCTAATACACCCAAGAATCTCTATGGTAGTACTGACAGCTGTCAGTGTTACTGTGGAGGTGGTGACACTGGCTCATGTGCCTGCTATAATGCAACAGTTCCATAGAGCCAATTGTCACATAGTGTCAGCGGTCCCATAGAGGCCATGGTCCCATAGTGTCAGCGGTCCCATAGAGGCCATGGTCCCAATGTCAGCAGTCCAGAAGAATTGGCGGTTCCATAGAGGCCATGGTCCCATAGTGTCAGCGGTCCCATAGAGGCCATGGTACAATGGCGTCAGCAGTCCCATAGAGTCCATGGTCCCATGGTGTCAACGGTCCCATAAAGGCCATGATCCAATGGTATCAGCGGTCCCATAGAGGCCATGGTCCCACAGTGTCAGCAGCCCAGTAGTATTGGCAGTCCCATAGAGGCCATGGTCCCATGGTGTCAGCAGTCCCATAGAGGCCATGATCCATTGGTGTCAGCGGTCCCATGGTGTCAGCGGTCCCATAAAGGCCATGATCCAATGGTGTCAGCGGTCCAAAAGAGGCCATGGTCCTATAGTGTCAGTAGGACCCATAGTGTCAGCAGTCCCATAGAGGCCATGGTCCTGAAGTGTCAGCGGTCCTAAATTGTCAGCAGTCCCAAAGTGTCAGCGGTCCCATAGTGGCCATGGTCCCATAGTGTCAGCAGTCCCCGAGTGTCAGCGGTCCCATAGTGGCCATGGTCCCATAGTGTCAGCAGTCCCATAGTGTCAGCGGTCCCATAGTGTCAGCGGTCCCATAGAGGCCATGGTCCCATAGTGTCAGCAGTCCCATAGAGGCCATGGTCCCATAGTGTCAGCAGTCCCCATAGAGGCCAGTGTCAGCAGTCCCATAGAGGCCATGGTCCCATTGTGTCAGCAGGTCCCATAGAGGTCATGGTCCCAAATTGTCAGCAGTCCCAAAGTGTCATGGTCCCATAGTGGCCATGGTCCCATAGTGTCAGCAGTCCCATAGAGGCCATGGTCCCATAGTGTCAGCGGTCCTAAATTGTCAGCAGTCCCAAAGTGTCAGCGGTCCCATGGCGTGATTTAGTTCATGTTCCGGTTGAATAAATGCCATGAAATTGTCAATGGATGTCCCATAGTGCCATGGTCCCAGTCCCAGTCCCATAGTGCCATGGTCCTGTGTACAGTTGACGGTCCTGACTAATAGTGGCCCCATGTGTCAGCGGTCCCAGTAGTGTCAGCAGTCCAGTCAGTCCCATAGAGGCCATGGTCCCATAGTGTCAGCGGTCCCAGAGGCCATGGTCCCATAGTGTCAGCGGTCCCATAGGAGGCCATGGTCCCATAGTGTCAGCAGTCCCAAAGATAGTCAGCCATGGTCCTGAAGTGCCATGGTCCCATTGTGTCAGCAGTCCCAAAGTGTCAGCGGTCCCATAGTGGCCATGGTCCCATAGAGGCCATGGTCCTATGGTCCCATGTGTCAGCAGTCCCATAGGGCCAGAGCGAGACCCATAGTGTCAGCCCATGGTCCCATAGTGTCAGCGGGTCCCCAAATTGTCAGCAGCCCCATAGTAGCCATGGTCCCATGGTCCCAGCGGTCCCATAGAGGCCATGGTCCCATAGTGTCAGCGGTCCTAAATTGTCAGCAGTCCCAAAGTGTCAGCAGTCCCATAGTGTCAGCAGTCCCATAGAGGCCATGGTCCTGATAGTGTCAGCGGTCCTAAATTATCAGCAGTCCACACCAGGACACATAGGGACGTGAGTGTCAGCGGTCCCATAGTGGCCTAATGGTCCCATAGTGTCAGCATGTAAACATGATTTAGTTCCAAGAAGTAGTAAATGTTCAAGTTATTTTCAGATTTTAACAATACTTTTACTTCTATGAATTACAAATGTTTTGACAGTGTATTGTGATCTACTGTCCCCACATGAAACAGTTCATATTTCAGAGTGTGCTGGAATGACTATTTCCCTGCCAATGTGATTAGTTCGCATTTTATGTATTTGTAAACAACATTTAAAGTGTTAAAACAAATATTATGGAAACTCTTTGTCTGTATTTAAATATCTTCTTGACCAATATTCATGGTCTACATTCATATACAAATGTACATTCTTGACCAATATTTGTGGTCTGTATTTATATATATTCTTGACCAACATTCGTGGTCTGTATTTAATATTTTCTTGACCAATATTCATGGTCTACATTCATATACATTCTTGACCAATATTCATTGTCTGTATATATATATATATTCTTGACCATATATTTCATGGTCTGTATTTATATATATTCTTGACCAATATTCGTGGTCTGTATTCATATATATAGAAGAAGCAGAAGACACTGTCACCCTTCTGTCTTGAACAGACATGAGACTGTACCTCTGTAACATCATTACGTACTACGAGTGCCAGGGTGACATCGAAAATGCAGATAAAGCAATGGACATGCTCAATTCTTCAAAACAACCTTTGCAGCAGCCCACCATTAAAGACTTCTTTTGTAAGTAAAACGTGTGTGTGAAACAATGTGTAATAAATCCAGTGATTGTCTTTGATGTTTTGTTTTGATTTCTTCACGTATCCATAGTAAGGAAAGATATCAAGGGGAAGTAACTCGGTGCATATACTGTGGTTTCAGCAGTACGAATGTTTCACTATCCGAACGTTTTTTAAAAAAACCAAAGTGTTCGTATTAACGAGGTCTGACTGCATATATTCTTGACCAATATTCATGGTCTATATTCATATATTCTTGACCAATATTCATGGTCTAATATTAGAAGTCTATACATATCTCTGGGACCAATATTTGTAATCTGTATAGAACTGAAATGTCTACTTGGTCCTATTCATTATTATCCTCCACTCACAGTTACCTTTGTAGAATAGTTTCCAATTTCATTATAAGGCAGTCACCTTCAGTTCACCATATATAGTTTCCAAGCTATTTCAATAAGAAAGTTACTTTAGTTCCCCATTACTGGTATATTTTCATGAGAATTCAGAAGGGCAGAAACAGATGACATCCAAATGACAGATCTAGACATGCCATAAACATATGTCGATCTTCAGTCCTGCTGAGCTACAACTGACACACTAAAGTGAGCTTCCAGATATCCTACCTTCCCGCCATCTTTCCGGACCTCATCGAAACACTGCATGGCCATCATGTGATCAATGCCAGGGTCGACACCGACCTCGTTCATGATAGTCACGCCTGCATCCACAGCACTGAAAGACATGGCGACCTGTGATGTCAGTACATATTGTTGTATGTTTCACTGAACAACCACATTCCCCAACTATTGTAAAGATCAATACCAATTATCTTGCCTCACACATAAATGTCGTTTTCTGATTGGCTGAGCGCTCTTCTATTATGTTCAATGTACCCCGCTAACAAGCGAGTAACATTTTCTATGTACGCCACTAGGAATGCCGAACTCATTTGGTACTTCGTAGTAGTAATTCTTTATCTCGAATAACATTGAATCACGTATGATGTACGGAAATTACTGATGTTTTGCGAATGCAAATTGATGGAAGGTAGATAAATTTGTTTTTCTTGTCGTCTTGTCGTCTGGTACTCCATACTATGATCCGATACCCGTGCTTCGAACAGTTCAAAATTACCATTGAGGTTTTCGGTAAGATAAATACATTGTTCACTGGTCCCTTGGGGCCCATGGGTTGATGTACCCTCAATGTTTCTTTATGTTATGTTAATATAAACAAACATCGAGGGCACATCAGCCCATGTCCCCTCAAGACCAGTGAACAACTTATAGTATTCCTCAATCTTATGGCAAGGGAATTAAGCAGACCCTTGATCTTCCAAGGTGTCATATCTCCATTGTACTACATCAATACATAAGGCAGGGGTGTGTGAGTAAGTGAGTACGGTTTTATTCTGCTTTTAGCAATGTTACAGCAATATCATGGCAGGGATACCAGATATGGGCTTCACACATTGTACCTATGTGGGAATCGAACCCAGGCCTTCAGCATGATGAGCAGATGCCTTAACCACTAGGCTACCCCACCACTGCATCAATACATAAGCATGTTGGAACTACATGTACTGCTGACTTACATCCACCTTTTCATCATGGGAGAGTTACCAAGCCCAGTCAGATCATGGTTATCTGAGCAGACCAGTGGGGAAAGCACAAGAGTGAGTGAGTTTCGTTTTACACCGCTTTTAGCAAAATTCCAGCAATATCATGGCGAGGGATACCAGAAAGCACAAGAAACAAGAGGGTACAGAAGTAATGATCTTTCCTCTTGTGTAGTTATTTAACAAGGCTGTATTAGGTTTATTGTCTGGCACATGCTTACATACATGTAGGCTGCCATTTTACATCAGGCCCCGGACGTAACTACCCATACCACAAGCATGTGCTCAATGGTCTAAGGGAGTTAACTCCACACGTCTGGCCATTACTGTTGTATTTGCTGGATCATGGTTTCAGCAAATCCTATATTCTTCAAACTTGGAAAAATCACAACACAGTTCAGGGAATATTCGTATAAACATTCTGTGATCCATTTATAAATAGGAGGTGATGTCACCTTTTTGAATAAATTTTAATATTCCCTCCTTCGACACTTTCACCAAAACTATCTGCAATTCAAGCCATAAAGGAATAATATGGTGTGATTGTTGTGAGAGATATACCTCTGATGGAGCTGCTGCATGGCGGGAGACACGTAGCTGGCTGTCACCATGTTCCGTCGGTGCTCAATACACAGCTTGGCAATGTCTGGGTGGAGCTCATACGGCAACAAGCTGAAAATGGCACAGCAATCAAATACTTAATAAAATATTCAACACTAGATCCTGATAAATTCATGATTGGATTTTTATCCCTATCACTACTAAATATCTGGCTCACAACATTGTACTGTGACGTCGCACACAGTATCATTTATGTCCACATTATGTTTATGCACCTGATGACATCACACTGTTTCTGCACCTGAAAACCACCTGACAGGTGGATGTTTACGCACCTGACGATGACATCATGTTCAGGGATGAGGCGCTCCAGCTCCTCATGACTCCGCTGTACATCCATCAACAAACAGTCTGCCACCGGACATTTCTGACTGATGTTGTCGAGCTCCTCGCTGAACTGGGATGCCACAGTGACGTGTGTGGAGCTATCACGTGACAGGTACTCTACAGCCGGGCCAGCAACGTATCCCGCACCGAGGACCAGTACACGTTTCTCAATGCCATTGGAGGTTCGCTGGGCCTTGTGACTTGCCCTGGACACCAGAAACGACAATCAGCAGAGCCTTAACAACTGAGACAGCACTCAATGTACAGTCAAACCAAATTAAGAAACTTAGTTTTCAGTTTATACACTATATTAAAATTAGGTCATAGCCAACATGAACAATGGAAGACTCAGCATTACAGAAAATTTGTCACAAATATGAACAATTGTAAACATAACAGGGTTCACAGGACTCAGTCAATCTGAAATGGTCCTGTGTTTGGCTTATATTTCCTTATTCCGATCTTACTTATGTTTCCTTATTCCGATATTACTTATGTTTCCTTATTCCGATATTACTTATGTTTCCTTATTCCGATATTACTTATGTTTCTTTATTCCGATATTTCTATAGTAAAATACTAAAAGCTGATTACAAGATTACACAAAGCAACACAGCCATCACGCAGCCACGCTACACCATGCTGAATGAAGACAACACGATGTTGACTTCACAGAAACAAGCAGGTTTTACTGGATCATTTACTGGAATATTTGCTGCATATATTTACTGCATATTCACAAAAATAAACATCTGATCCCCAATAAGTGAGTGAATATTGTCTGATGTCACAGTCAAAACTATTCGACCTGTATAAAGGCTACATATACTCTACTTAAAGTGAAGGGGCACCTGCTTCTTTCATGTTACTAGTGTTAATCTTTCATGGCATGACAGAGTAGTTATTGCAATAAGAACTTCTTTCAGGTAGTACATGCCCTGGCAATGCAACCCAGTGGTTGAAAGTAGGAGCATTGATCCATACTATCACTATCAGGGTATAGTGACAGACTATCACTATCAGGGTATAGTGACAGACTATCAGCTATCATAGTTATCACTATCAGGGTATAGTGACAGACTATCACTATCAGGGTATAGTGACAGACTATCAGCCAGGTTAGATATCAGGGTCACTAGATTCACATGACAAACATGGGATACACTGGACCTTTTCTGCTCCTAGATATCCCCAGGGAGACAAATATGGGATAAAGGGGATCTTTTCGGCATCAAGATGTACACAGGGAGACAAACCATAGGATCTAAGGGACCTTTTCTACCCCAAGACTCCAGGAGACATGGGATATAGGGGAACATGAAGTAACAGAGAGACCAACATGGGATATGGGATAACAGAGAGACCAACATGGGATATAGGGGACCTTTTCTGTGAAGTCCACAGAGAGACCATGGGATATAGGGGACATGAAGTAACAGAGAGACCAACATGGGATATAGGGACCTTTTCTGTCCATGAAGTAACAGAGAGACCAATATGGGATATAGGGGACCTTTTCTGTCCATGAAGTAACAGAGAGACCAACATGGGATATAGGGGACCTTTTCTGTCCATGAAGTAACAGAGAGACCAATATGGGATATAGGGGACCTTTTCTGTCCATGAAGTACACAGAGAGACCAATATGGGATATGGAGGAACTGCCTCACTACCTCCACAGGGAGACAAGAAGACACCTATCACTGGAGAGACTAAGTATTCACCATGTTTGAAGAAGACACTATCTACACCAGAAAAACAATGTATCAATTGTGTCTGAGTTAAGAAATGAATATACATAACATTCATCTTAGTTTTTAAAGCAAAAAATGTTTTAGATTTTAAAAAAAAAATTTAATATTATTTTTATTCCATTTCAAGTCTCACATGAAATACATATGACATAAATGATAAGGAAGTGGAAACATTTATATACAAACTATACAAACTATACTATGTGCTAAGCATTGATCTCTACTTGTAATATCAGCTGTATTTCCAGACCCCACTCACTACAATCACACTATTCAACCTTATCCCGCCAATTTTATACTTTATATGCCCTCTACAAAAATGTTTTAGATTTAGTAGAAAACACTACATGCAGGTACAGTAAATGGCATGTTATCACTCTTCCAATAATGAGACAGTAGTGTTACTAAGGTAGTAGAACTGAATGGCAACATAAACAAGAAAAATGAAATAAGTAACAGATCTAGGTATGAGGAGAGGGAAATGATTACAGCCAAGACAACCTACATATAGGCAGTAATTTAATTACTCAGTGAGCCAATATAAAACCAAAATCTAGACCAGTAGTCATTAAAGAAGAATTGAACAGTCTTGTTTCCTCGTGTAAAATCTGTTAAAAAACAACTTAAACACTGTAAAAATACCATTTCTTCATGTCTTTTGTATATTTCTAAGAGTCACCAACAGTTTTGAGAAATAACCTCAAGCGAAAAACATTCAGAAACTTTTAGTTATATTTTGACTATATTTTGCATACAATGAATAAGCCAAGTAACAAAAAGGCACAAGAACACAAAACAAAACTATAAGGGCATAAAAAAGTTATAGGTGATGTGAGGTGAAATTGGGTTTAACGTCGTGCTTGAGAATATTTCGCTCATATGACGACGTGCATGCGGGTGTATGTGTATGTGCGGCTGCTTGTACTAGCCCAGACTTAAGCTGGTTTTTATAGTGCTAGCCCACTGAGATACCATGCCGCAGTGAAGCATGAATACCCCACTCAGACACATTATACTGACTCCGAGCCGACCAGTCCTTGTTGTACCTATTAATGCCGAGCGCCAGGCAGGGACCAACAAGTACCATATTTTAATGTCTTTTGGTATGACGCGGCCGGGGATCGAACCCATGACCTTCCGCTCTCCGGGCGGACGCTCTAACCACTACACCACGGAGGCGGTCTAAAAAAGTTATATATGACAAAGATAGTGCCATAGCTCTAAATAAAAACAGTTAACAGATTACTGTACAGGTGTTTTACACTCTGGAATTAGCCACGTTTGAGCTAGGTCTGACTGAAATATGCTTTCTGTGTATATCTGTACCATTATAAGTGTTTCATATACATATGTTACACGTATCATTTACTTTATGATGCCCTTGGAATGACAGTGAATGTCTTACCTCCTCTGGTCTCTACAAACAACATGAAAACTGAGTGGTCAGATACAGACAGAGCCTTGATGTACATGTAAACAGGAGAGGAGAAAGTGTGAGTGAGTGAGTCTTGTTCAACACATTCCATGTGGACAGTTGTGTGGTGTGACTCTCAGGTAGGGTGCAGGTAATGGTGAGGGTGGAGGGTGGTGTTGTCGTGGAACGGCATAATTAATTATAACAGTCTGTAACCCAAATTCTGAGTCACAGGGAAGTGTTGATTCTAGCGCCCTACAACAGTACTTGGAGGAGAAGGATGGTTACGTACATTAACATATTATATTAGACTGACTGACTGACTGAGTTTTGGTTTTACGCCGCTTTTAGCAATATTCCAGCAACATCACGGCGGGGGACACCAGAAATGGGCTTCACACATTGTACCCATGTGGGGATTTGAACCCGGGGCCTCGACGTGACGAGCCAATGCTTTAACCACTAGGCTACCCCGCCGCCCCTATTATATTAGAATCTTTACTCCTAGAACAGGAACACTGGGAAAACAAACTAAGATTGTGACCCACAGACAAGGCCGGGCCACCCACCACACCAGCATCTTAAGTGATTCCTTGGGACCAAGGTGTCATATTCCAGCAATGACTTCTATTTGCAATCATTTTGTGACTCCCTACATCTTCAATCAGGACATACAATAACATGCCCCAAATGAATATGATATTTGTTTTCCCTCCATAAACAATCCAACATAGCTCTGATATGAAACAAATTCGACCTGCAGATATAGCAGTTGATATGACAGTGGTATGTGATGCAATGTGACAATATTCTCAACGACTTACTTAGCCTGTCGTCGGAGAACATCTATGTATTCATAATTTGGGGCAAGAGATCCATTGGAAGCTATCACTGCCTGGAAAAACACAAGACAACACAATTCATTTATTCTGTATTCTCATTATATTGCGACACATTAAACAAATGTTTCAAACACTACTGAATCAGAAGTCATTTTAACACACTGATAATTTATTCAGTTGTACATTATCATGACTGACCTCTGTGCTTAACAGAGGACACAAGGAATGTGTGTTACACATCGTACATTGTGGGAATCAAACACATGTCCTCAGAGCTAACACTACACCCACTGACCTCCCAAAAGGTAAAAAACTCAGGAATGATAGTAATTTTCCACTTGTCTTCTTCTTGGTATGCTCTTACGCCGCTTTCAGCAATATTCCAGCAATATCACAGCAGGGGGCACCAGAAATGGGCTTCACACATTGTACCCATGTGGGGAATGAAACCCAGGCCTTCAGTGTCACAAGCAAAACCTTCAACCACTAGGCTTCCCCAACGCACCTTCAATATTATGTCCCTATGCTATATTTCAGCTACATCACACTAGCCTGTAAACAGGTCAACCTCTGTTAGAGCACATCCGATGTCATACAGGTCATCCGTGTTACCCCCAACTCTCATTTTAGCAACAACTTTTACAAATACAGCATGCAGTGTGTAAAGCGTCCCCCAGATTCGCAACATAGCTGCATCCTATAATCAAATACTTTCACCCAACTTACATTTTTGACCACAGGAGAACAGTCATATTCATGGAAGGAATGTTTGGCATCAGACTTCAGCTGCAAAATGAAAGGTTACTTTAACAGCTGCATCACAGAATCACAACCAAACCAATAGACAGCCAAAGACAACATTAAAAAAGTAGTGTGAACAATAGAATCTCAGATAACACTCTGAAGACATGGTGCCTATAGCTTCTGCCATGGGAACCGTGCCAATTTACTCTTGTCAGAGGGGTACACAAGTATGTGATCTATACCACTGGTAGATAGACCACCACAATGGCTGAGTAGGTTCGATCACTGTTATTGTGTTCTGGCAACTGGGTACCTGACTCTGAGAGTGTGAGTTTTAATCCCAGATTGGACTCACACCCTAAAATATGTCGGTACTTTAGTCAGTACTTTACTGAGAAAGTGTAATCCCAAATATAACTTGCTACAGGTAATACTCGTTCAGAGATTTCAGATTGCAAGAGGCTTCTGGATTACTTCTGAGACAGGTGAAAAATTAACTATGACCTCCACAAATGAAAAATGCTATGACTGATGAATGGTGTGTTGGACAACAACCAGCGTGAATCCCACAGTTCAGCCTCCTGACAGCCAGGTTGTTCCATTCAAAAGTCAAGGCATTTTACATTTATGGATGAGGCCACATTGTAGTCAATGACACATACTTAACACAACTACGTTAAGGTCCTTGACATGAATAACTAATTGTCTTTCAAAAGGCTTTCACTATTGCATTAAAATAAATGACATACCATAAAATAAGAGACAAAGGTGACAAAGATGTGAGCCTAATCTAAGCCATGTGTGGAGCTCACCATATCTTTCACATAGGGCAGCAACAGGCTCCCAAAGAAGTCTGTAGCCTCGCGTGGAATCTGGGCAGGCATGTTGTCAATTGAGCAGATCAGGACACCATCTCCAGCAAAACTAGAATACCAGACCACATATATAACTTCATTACTGAACATACAGAAATACATTCAACTGACAGACAATTCAACCATACTGTCTTTTGAGAAATATCAACATGAGATAGAAACCAGTAATTACTAGTGTCTTCAGTGTAAAAGTACAGATAACCAGCTTCAGAGGCGGAGTGGATGTCTTGGAAACTGATGACATCACAATGGTTTACAATGGTAACTGATGACATCACAATGGTCTACAATGGTACGGTAACTGGTGACATCACAATGGTTTACAATGGTAACTGATGACATCACAATGGTTTACAATGGTAACTGATGACATCACAATGGTCTACAATGGTAACTGATGACATCACAATGGTCTACAATGGTAATTGATGACATCACAATGGTCTACAATGGTAACTGATGACATCACAATGGTCTATAATGGTAACTGATGACATCACAATGGTCTAAAATGGTAACTGGTGACATCACAATGGTCTACAATGTTATATCTCGCCAGGCAATAACTCCAGTGAAGGCTGGTGTACTAAAGATCCATGTTGGATAAGTTTAGGTGGTAACTTTAGGTGATATGGGTTGAACAATACCAGTATATCCTCATGATGATATTACACCATAACAATATCTACCTCTCTGTCTCCATGTTCTGTTCAGCATCGTACAAACAGAATGGGGAGTCGATGGTTGTGCACTCCTTCATGAACTCGATGGATCCGCCAGGGTCAGCGGAGATATCACAGAGGGCCACAAGCCGATGGGGGAGCTGAGGACATCCCGCACTGGATGCAATCCACGGAGATTCCTGAGGTCGTAGAAGCACCTTCGCATCTGGGATGGACAGTAGACGAGGAGCATTCGGTGCCCAGTAGATGCCATTGATGATACAGGAGGCATATGGCGCCACCTAGTGGGGACAACAGGGAGTGAGTGTGTTAAGTTTCATGTTTTTTAGCAATGTTCCAGAATTATCATGGCAATGGGTTTCACACAGTGCCATCAACTAACATCATCTTGAATAAATATCTATGTGAAAGGTTATGTAATTCAAAGATTGCTAATAATTTCCAAAGTGTTGTAATTTCCCAGAGCCCAAACAGGTCGCATTCTGTGATATATAGGTAGATGATAAGAATGGAATAGCTGTTTCACACAGTGTATGCTGTAGGATCTGTGAGAGAGATTAATGGTGTCCATGTTGGAGATCAACCAAACTGTTCATACCTTATGGCTGAAAGCTGAAGCGTATCTTTCAGGGTGCTCCTCAAATTCATCCGCATTGAATGGCCCGCCATCCTTCCGGACGTAATGATCATCTCGGCTCACAACACAAGCGTACACCTTGTTGGTGGCTGGAACAAGAGTGAGTAAGTGAATGAGTGAGTGAATTGGTTTTTACGCCGCATTTAGCAATAATCCAGCAATATCACGGCAGGGGGCACCAGAAATGGGCTTCACATATTGTACCCATGTGGGGAATCGAACCCTTGTCTTCAGCGTGACAAGCAGAAGCTTTAACCACTAGGCTACCCCACCGCGCCGAGTGAGTGAGTGAGCATTGTCCAGCAGGAATGTGGCAAGTCCTTATCCATAAAGTTTGTTCAATATTGCAAATGTTATTTATTTACATCAGTGATTGATGATTGTTCTTTACTGACATAAAATTAGAAACTTGTCCAGAGATATAAATGTCCCCTTTTGTCAATTTTCTCTGAGCTGCTGGGATGTTTAGCGTATCAGTGTATAGTGGCTGTTTGTCTATAACCATTATAACCTGTGACTGAAAACACGAGCACACATCCACGTACGCCATCAGGTCACGACGACATCAGCCAAGTCACCAAGTCTGGCGGAGAGACAGACAGCTCTCATGAGGAACATGGGATACTATACTAATCCCCTATACTGACCTCCATGTCTGGCCACCTTGGGAAGGTACTGTGGTTCAATGTATTCGTGCGGGAGCTCCTGAAACACTTCCTGAGCACCCTGAAACAGCATAGACTCTTCCGTAAACATGGAGGCTTGAATCAGTATTGGCTTGCGCCAGTTTCAGCAGTGTCGGTCAGTGTTTCTTGGTAGGTACAAGAGTGAGTGAATATTGTCTTCTGCTGAACTTAACAAAACTCCAGCTTTTTTAAGGCAATCTGTAAATATGTATGAATCTGGTAAAGTCGAAGTGGTCATTGATATTGTGAGTAATGATCCATGACATCAGGGCCCCGCTCCACAAAGCTATCGTTGCGCTACGACATGTCGTAAGTCTATGTTACACTACAGAAGGTATTGTGAGTAATGATCCATGACATCAGGGCCCTGTTCCACAAGCTATCGTAGCGCTATGACATGTCGTAAGTCTATGTTACACTACAGAAGGTATTGAGAGCAATGATCCATGACTTCAGGGCCCTGTTCCCGAAAGCTATTGTAGCGCTACGACTGTCATAAGTCTCTATTACACTACAGATGGTATTGTGAGCAATGATCCATGACTTCAGGGCCCGTTCCCGAAAGCTATTGTAGCGCTACGACTGTCGTAAGTCTAAATTACACTACAGAAGGTATTGTGAGTAATGGTCCATGACTTCAGGGCCCCCATTTCACAAAGCTTTCGTAGCGCTACGACATGTCGTAAGTCTATGTTACACTACAGGAGGTATTGTGAGTAATGATCCATGACATCAGGGCCCCCATTCACAAAGCTATCGTAGCGCTACGACTGTCGTAAGTCTATGTTACACTACAGGAGGTATGACAGTCGTAGCGCTACGATAGCTTTGTCCCCACAGGGAGACCAGTGTGTTTTGCTGGGGACCTGTTCTAACCCTGAATCCCACCAAGTTCCAGCTAAACAATGGCAGTATACACCATTAATCGGTTTTACACATGGTACCTACGTGGACAATGAGACCCAGGCCTTTAGTGTAACAAGTCAACCACAAGGCTGACCCCTATCTCTCAGTACTTGCTGTACTGATACTACTCTTTGGGTTGCCTGTAAACAAACCCTTCGCATTAACAACAGTTAAATTCTCCCTATCTCTATCACCAGATTAATGATTACCTTGGAGACATTTCCTGAACCTGTAAACACGAATGTGAGGGTACCAAGAGACTTGGGCAGCCTGTCCAGAGCGATCTCATAGCCCGCGTCCCGCACAGCCTGGCGGGCCATCTCTGTGTTCCTGTAGTTGTGGCTGGGCCCGATGTGCTACACAGACAAAATACATACAATGTCATTAGAAGATTAGAAGGGTGTTTACATGGTCTTGTTTACAATGTTGATAACAGGAATCCCACCTACCATGAGCGGAGATTCATATCCCAGAGCCAGCATGACAATGTTCACAACAGGAATCCCACCTACCATGAGCGGAGCGTCGTGTCCTAGAGCCAGCATGACAATGTTGACAACAGGAATCCCACCTACCATGAGCGGAGCGTCGTGTCCTAGAGCCAGCATGACAATGTTGACAACAGGAATCCCACCTACCATGAGCGGAGCGTCGTGTCCTAGAGCCAGCATGACAATGTTGACAAAAGGAATCCCACCTACCATGAACGGAGCATTGTGTCCCAGAGCCAGCATGACAATGTTGACAACAGGAATCCCACCTACCATGAGCGGAGCGTCGTGTCCTAAAGCCAGCATGACAATGTTGACAACAGGAATCCCACCTACCATGAGCGGAGCGTCGTGTCCTAAAGCCAGCATGACAATGTTGACAACAGGAATCCCACCTACCATGAACGGAGCATCGTGTCCCAGAGCCAGCATGACAATGTTGACAACAGGAATCCCACCTACCATGAACGGAGCATCGTGTCCCAGAGCCAGCATGACAATGTTGACAACAGGAATCCCACCTACCATGAGCGGAGCGTCGTGTCCAAGAGCCAGCATGACAATGTTGACAACAGGAATCCCACCTACCATGAGGGGAGCGTCGTGTCCCAGAGCCAGCATGACAATGTTCACAACAGGAATCCCACCTACCATGAACGGAGCGTCCTGTCCTAGAGCCAGCATGACAATGTTGACAACAGGAATCCCACCTACCATGAGCGGAGCGTCGTGTCCCAGAGCCAGCATGACAATGTTGACAACAGGAATCCCACCTACCATGAGCGGAGCGTCCTGTCCCAGAGCCAGCATGACAATGTTGACAACAGGAATCCCACCTACCATGAACGGAGCATCGTGTCCCAGAGCCAGCATGACAATGTTGACAACAGGAATCCCACCTACCATGAGCGGAGTGTCGTGTCCAAGAGCCAGCATGACAATGTTGACAACAGGAATCCCACCTACCATGAGGGGAGCGTCGTGTCCCAGAGCCAGCATGACAATGTTCACAACAGGAATCCCACCTACCATGAACGGAGCGTCCTGTCCCAGAGCCAGCATGACAATGTTGACAACAGGAATCCCACCTACCATGAGCGGAGCGTCCTGTCCCAGAGCCAGCATGACAATGTTGACAACAGGAATCCCACCTACCATGAGCGGAGCATCGTGTCCCAGAGCCAGCATGACAATGTTCACAACAGGAATCCCACCTACCATGAGCGGAGCTGTCAGGTCCTAGAGCCAGCATGACAATGTTGACAACAGGAATCCCACCTACCATGAGCGGAGCCGCCCTGTCCTAGAGCCAGCATGACAATGTTGACAACAGGAACCCCACCTTCCATGAGCGAGCCGCCGTGTCCTAGAGCCAGCATGACAATGTTGACAACAGGAATCCCACCTACCATGAGCGGAGCGTCCTGTCCTAGAGCCAGCATGACAATGTTGACAACAGGAATCCCACCTACCATGAGCGGAGCGTCGTGTCCTAGAGCCAGCATGACAATGTTGACAACAGGAATCCCACCTACCATGAGCGAGAGCCGTCAGGTCCTAGAGCCAGCATGACAATGTTGACAACAGGAATCCCACCTACCATGAACGGAGCGTCGTGTCCTAGAGCCAGCATGAAAATGTTCACAACAGGAATCCCACCTACCATGAACGGAGCATCGTGTCCTAGAGCCAGCATGACAATGTTGACAACAGGAACCCCACCTACCATGAACGGAGCGTCGTGTCCCAGAGCCAGCATGACAATGTTGACAACAGGAACCCCACCTACCATGAACGGAGCGTCGTGTCCTAGAGCCAGCATGACAATGTTGACAACAGGAATCCCACCTACCATGAGCGGAGCGTCCTGTCCTAGAGCCAGCATGACAATGTTGACAACAGGAACCCCACCTACCATGAGCGGAGCATCGTGTCCTAGAGCCAGCATGACAATGTTGACAACAGGAATCCCACCTACCATGAGCGGAGCGTCGTGTCCTAGAGCCAGCATGACAATGTTGACAACAGGAATCCCACCTACCATGAGCGGAGCGTCGTGTGTCCTAGAGCCAGCATGACAATGTTGACAACAGGAATCCCACCTACCATGAACGGAGCGTCGTGTCCTAGAGCCAGCATGACAATGTTCACAACAGGAATCCCACCTACCATGAGCGGAGCGTCGTGTCCTAGAGCCAGCATGACAATGTTGACAACAGGAATCCCACCTACCATGAACGGAGCGTCGTGTCCTAGAGCCAGCATGACAATGTTGACAACAGGAACCCCACCTACCATGAACGGAGCGTCGTGTCCTAGAGCCAGCATGACAATGTTGACAACAGGAACCCCACCTACCATGAACGGAGCGTCGTGTCCTAGAGCCAGCATGACAATGTTGACAACAGGAACCCCACCTACCATGAACGGAGCGTCGTGTCCTAGAGCCAGCATGACAATGTTGACAACAGGAATCCCACCTACCATGAACGGAGTGTGATGTCCCAGAGCAAGTAGCCGTAGTCCCATCCCGTGCAGCACGTTGATCATGCCTGACACGCCTGCATACTTCCCAAACGCCACCACACGTTGACCATTCTCATCCACCATCTTCTCGTAGTCGATCAGGCGAATATTCTGTAACCACAGTTCACAGAGGCTCATTACCTGTGAAGCCATCACAGTATTACCATCTCGGATACAAACCTATCCATATCCAGAAATATAAGGGTAACAACTTTGCAAAAATCATTAGGGGTGAAACTGTAGTATACCGTGGTATTAGTAGAACCATGGTATTTTGCCTTCATTAACCTTTTTTAACCTTTTCTAAAATGTCTAGAAATGGAAACATTTCGTCAAAATCTATGCATTTCTTTGCTATACGGACGCAATTCTCCTGGATGTAAGTTCTCATGTGCTGAACGGTAACGGACCGAACCGAAGGTCTTGTACTGCAATACGTACCATACCGTGGTAAGAGCATACTGTTTCACCCCTATAAATCATGTGATCCTCCTTCTCCAGCACTACGCCCTGCATGATGATACCTATTCCATCAATCTGTCATGTGTCATGTGTACCTACCTTCTCTAGAATGGCGTCAAGCAGTGACATGTTGGCCTCCTGAGCTTTGATGGTGTGGGAGAAGAAGGCGTATGTCTTCTCAGGCATGAGGAGGTCAATGGGAACCTGCTTCACGCCGATCACCAGGGATGCTTCACTCAGGTCTTCTTGGATGACGGCACCCCTGTTAGCATACTCCTGCGATGTATCAAACAACACCATATCAACCATTGTACATACACTAACTCTAAACTGACGGGAGAACATATTGGGTTGATCATACAGGCTGTAACAAGGATCTCTGCAGTCTGAAGATATGGGTGGCCCAGGTGTCTCATGCACTGTGTTGTGCCGTGCAGAGTTGCGGTTCTTGGGCACACCAACACCATGACCATAGGTTCACCCTGATTACGTTCCAAGGTATGTCAGCACCAAAGCTCGTGGGCTCCATCTAAGTGGTCATGGTCTGAGACTTGCATCATATCGCTGGAGTCAGATTTGAATGTTTATCATCAATATATGAGCGGCAAATCGTGAATCAAGCTGTCAAAATCAAAGTTGAGTGATAATGTAACAAATTATTGACATTGTAAATACCAATTTATTTCCAGACTGTCCATCAAAGCTATGTAATTCCAAAACCAATACATAAGCAATCCTAATCCAGCTTCCACTGACAACTTGAGCTCAGAGCAAGCACCTGTTTTTTTAGAACTACAGATTACATTTTTCATGATCTCAAGCATTAAGTACATTATGAGCTGGGATTCATCTTGGAGTCAGCAATCTTAATCCAAGGCCACCTTGAACGTTAGTCAAGTAATATACAGCTGATGCAGGTCTTGGATGTTTACCCCAGTGAATCCGACAAACACTGCCACAGGGTTCTGGAGCCTGCTGTTCACATCAAACACACCATGGTATGTGATGACCCACTGCATGTACTGACACATCTGTAACGTGGCATCACTGAGTTGTCATGGAATTGGAAAATCGGGTTCAAATCCAAGATCCTTCCTTGTATTTCAGTGAGTGATATATATCATTCACCAGGATGTCACATGACTTCCTTACCTGGGGGCGGTGGGGTAGCCTAGTGGTCACGCTGAAGACCGGGTTCTATTCCCCACATGGGTACAATGTGTGAAACCCATTTCTGGTGTCCCCCGCCGTGATGTTGCTGGAATATTGCTAAAAGCGGCGTTAAACCAAAGTCACTCACTTGCTCCTTACCTGCATGCTGTATGCTCTTCTGTTGGACGGCTGGACAATGACCTTGAACCCATCTTTGACAAGTTTGGCCACATGACTAGGTGACAGCGGAGCTCTTCTCTCCCAAACATTAATAGTCTCACGTCGAATGGCTACAACTTTCAGTTCATCTCCGATGTGTCTCCTACTGGAGTACACAGCACCACCCACACGCTTGAACATGTGGCGACATGCCAGTTGGCTGTAGCACACATGGTGCAGCATGGTCAGTCCCGCTCTTAGATATCACGTGACTGATCTCCGAAAGTTTGTGTGAAGCTGTCTTGTTGCAAGCTGTGTCTCCCCTTCAGGATGAGCGAGATACTCCAAGTCCAGTCCAAAGAGGGTTTTTTTTTAACTCTCACTGACTGTAAATCTGCTTATTCAAAATATTGGACTCAAAACTGCTTGCGTTCTGAAAATAAGATATTACATATTTTCAGTTTGATGGGATGAACTCTATTACTTTCAATTATGTGATACATACTATTGTTCAAGTTATACTAAAATTAATCACTAATAGACATCTTACGAGAACAAGCATAAAATTCTCTCAGATGCTTAACATCAGCCATTTTGTAGCTATATGACTGTGGCATGTGACAACCAATTGTGTACCATGCTGATGCTGCGTGCAATGATCCACTGATATATTTACATGCTATCAACCAGGTCACCAATCTCAACATCTGGGGCTTCACACATTACACCCATGTCGGGAATTAAACCCGTTTCCTCAGCGTTACGAGCGAACGCTTTAACCACTAGGCTACCCCAAAGCCCCAACACCCAAAGACTAGTTGGGACCCCCATTGGACAGTGTGCAAAATTTATGCTGGTCCTGTGGTCCTTGGCAAGCAAAAATTAATCAGGACCACTAAATGATAAGTTTGCAGTGGTATTGCAGTGAATTTTGTGTTGATATAGTTAATCTACAAATGTTATTTTGGACCAGTGAAGTACAGACAGGACCACTCACTGGTCCTGTAGTCTAGTGGGAAATTTTGAAAGGTTTCTTTCCCTGATTGAAGATCATACATATGAGCTTTCTTATCAGTCAGTTCATGTCAAGCTTTTAACTGGACAAAGTGTTAAGATCTGCATAACTGATTTCTGTGCCTAAAAAGAAACAAACCGGCACCAACAGAAAATAAGTAGTGTTATGAATATACATACTCTCTGTTTCTCAATGCTACAACATCTACACACAACAGGACCCGTTGAGATTGGTCTTCAGTAACCCTGGCTTGTCACAGGACGCGACTAATGTGATTATGTCATCATATCCCAGTTGCCTAAATCAATGCTCATGACGTCAATCACTGAATTGTCTGGTCCAGACTCACTTACTTACAGATTTATTTATAAATGAATTAGTGTTGAACTATTCACTGCTCTGTTGTGCTACAACCCTTGTTTCCTACTTGAACAAAGCTTCAAATGATAGCACCAGACTAAACCTTTCAGTGCATGAACAATTATGTCGCTATAAATGAATTTGTGAAGAAGCCTTGAACTATGTGTGCGGATATGATGAAGTGCATGAGAAATTTATTGTTTGAATGGTTGAACTTATACAAAGCAGTTAGATGGGTAATAGAGGTTGACTGTGTATGAATGGACTTGTAGCTTGGCATTAATATTACCATATTTTTCTCATTACTTAACACAGCTATCATAATGTGCTTCTGTATTGAGAACAAGTGAATCATACTGTATCATCTAAAATATCTTCTTCCTCAATGGGGGCGGTGGGGTAGTCTAGTGGTTAAAGCGTTGACTCGTCACGCCGAAGACCCGGGTTCGAATCCCCACATGGGTACAATGAGTGAAGCCCATATCTGGTGTCCCCCGCCGTGATATTGCTGGAATATTGCTAAAAGCGGCGTAAAACCAAACTCAGTCAGTCAGTCTTCCTCAATGAATATAGTATCTATAACAATCATGGATACTGACTTTATATAACAAATATAGTGGCGGCGGGGTAGCCTAATGGTTAAAGCGTTCGCTCATCACGCTGAAGACCCGGGTTCAATTCTCCACATGGGTACAATATGTGAAGCCCATTTCTGGTATCCCCCGCCGTGATATTCCTGGAATATTGGTAAAAGCGGCGTAAAACCATACTGAGGTGAGGAGGCATATAACAAATATGAATTCTTTAGGTTTTGATATATCATAAATGAATCATTACGAAAATATATCACCATCAATATTATGTAACTGTATGACTAACCGTTCAGTATAAAGATAAAAATCTAAATAATGATTATACTGGACTTGGATGATATGCCAAAGAAACCTAGACTTTACTGACCAGAAAACCCAGGTCTGTTTTGACAAATAATCTTCATTTGGCCGACCAAGTTGAAAATTTGGAAAGGTTGTGAAAAAAGAATCTATAATTCAAATAATGGAATTATCTGATTCTATCAAAATTGTATGTCATCATAGACAAAGCTAGCCTTAGTCTATGTTCAAGTGACCCAGTCACTATAATATATAATATTCATTTGCAACGCAGGAATTAAATCACTATAGATAAATACTCAAAGTAATCTGTACTAAATGAACACATCATTTGTCTGCCATGTGAAAACTACGTTAGAGCATGAAGCACATCACGTGATTCATGACAGTACTTTTCTGCACTTAGGAAAGGCCGGGGGTGGGGGGAGAGAAGGGGGTGCGGGAGAGAAGGGGGCAGAGTTGAGAGAGGAGGCGGGGTAATGAAAGACTGATAATCAGCTGACGACAGATGGTGTAGGTAGATAAATCGTTGTCACAGGGGGACAATGTGTTTTATTCTTGCTGACATCAATTCATCATTTCGCAAAGAAACATAAAACATCCATATTTGTTGGAACCACGTATCAAAGTGTCAAGGTCGTTGGAAATATTCGTCTAAGGTTATTTACTGAATAAAAGCCCAGACATTCTTCTATTGTCAACGAAAATGCAACACGTAACAGTAAAACTGTTCCATACACTATATGTCATACTATTTACCTGCAACTACAAACCATACCTGTCAAATGGCAGAAAACATGAGACGACGTAAGTCGGTCAAAGTGGCAAACAAACTTCCACGAGGCAACATGAGTTTGTTTGTGTCGTGTCACGTGACCATGTCTCTCGGCCAATCAAGTGGCTTGAAACGACACACACCTCTTCGCTGAGGCGCGGTTATTTTCCGAGCCGTCAAACTGACCAAAAGCAGATAACCCTCATTTCAACAATATCATTCATCATTTTCGCATGGATAAATCTCAGTAAATAACAGAAAGCTTACAGCATCATTCATACTGTTTAGATACACAGACACATGGTAAGGAAACTCTGAGCTCGACTTATCTGAAAATGTACGTAGGTGCATGTTTACTAATATAAAAATATAAAAAATATATCTATCTATAAAAATTGCAATAAAACAGTCGAATTGAAATTTACATGAATACTTCTTCTTTCAACGTAACATATGTTATATTTGGGATTACACTTTCTTTGTAAAGTACAGGTTCTAGTACTTTTGTTGGGTTGATTCCCATCCGGGATTCGAACCCAAACCTCAACCCAACAAATGTACTAGAATCAGTACTTTACAAAGAAAGTGTAATCCCAAATATAACATATGTTACATTTGACCACTTTCTAAATGACATTGTGCATGTGTATTTCATACTTCTTTCAAATATTGATATTAATAGTTACAAGAAAGGGTGTGTGGGATGGGGGGTTGGGGTGAGAGTGGCTTTGTGTAAAATACAACAGTAGATTACTGAATGATCACATCAAACTTGGAACAATTGTATTTTCACTGTGGCTAGCAGAACACATTCACGTGTCTTTCACGGTCATGTGACTGGGCAGTACCACGTACCGTGACAACACACAGGAGGCACACGAGGCGCCACTTACACACAGCAATGGACGTCGTCTTGTGTTTCAGGATGCCAACACAAAGTCACACAAGTGGTATTGCTACAGAGTACCTCTAACAGAACTTACCCACTTTATCATGACCAGCGCTCAGTCCAGAATTGTCATCGAACATGTCTGGGGTATCCTTGGACCGACCACTCTCAACGAACTTGACCCTGTCCTGCATGAGGAATGGGATGCATTGGACAAGTGGAAATTTGGCAGTCGATTAGGAGTATATGCTGCGTGGAATCCGGGAATCGTGAGAACAGAGGCGGATTTAATATTGTCACCAACTGTAATATTTATTAGTTTCACGTTCCATGGTAAATGGCGTGGACGGACAGAAGGTCGTTTTGGGGCAATCATCTGACAAAGGTTGTGTTATTACTTTGTACAGTAATCGTTACTGATTCGTAACCTAATTACTTTTGTAATACAAGCGGTAATTGTATAACATGACTGTGTTACTTGTTGAATTCACACTCAATAATTTTTCGCTAATTAATTTATGAGTTAATTTGTCATTTCAGGTTTGGAAGCCCACATTACACATTATTTGTCACGATGTCAGTAATCCGGAAAACATCACTCTATAATGTCACAGATCATGGTGTTTATGGCAGACATGTTGGTGAAAGTGAAGCTGTGTTTCCTAAATACTCCAATATATAGCCGCACTCAGCATTATTCCAGCTATATGGCGGCGCTCTGTAATTCATCGAATCTGGACCAGACAATCGAGTGTGATCAACAGCGCGAGTACCCATCTAATCATATGGGATACGATAACATGTGTAAAGCAAGTCAGCGAGCCTGACCACCCGATCCCGTTAGTTGCCTCTTCCGACAACCATGGGTTGCTGAAGACCAATTCTGAATCTTCATGCAAAGATCAGTCCATAAATGAACTGCTGTAATATACAGATCTCTAAATACACTGTGAATACCTAGTACAGGATAGATAGCATCCCAAAGTACACAAGCTCTCCATATATACATGTATATACTTAATTTACGGAGGTAAGTCGATGCATACTTTATGTTTCTGATTCCTCGGTTTTCATTATGATGCACAGGTATGCATTTTATTAGGTAAGTTAGGTAACTGTATTTGTTTATTGATAATGCACACACCAATCAAATCAATTTGTAACCAGTTAGATTTGTTGTGGCAAGTGATGGAGTTGTTTCACCCCATTTCTTGGCCAAGTGCACTTTTAAGCCATGGAAGTCGGAAACAGAAAAAACACCTGGAAACAACCCCAGTTGCAACGGTAAACGTGTTTACTTTATTTTCCACATTTTCAACTTCGCTTATTCTTCTAACAAAATAAACGCCGAGATTACAAGATGGATTACTTTCATGTGAAATATTTGGGCTACATTAACGGAATTTCAACCCAATCCGTTTTCACTGGCCACATTTCTTCTGTAATGATTCAGAAGTCGACTCACCCTCAGTAGCTATGCCTCTGTCTTATGTTCCTTGCCATGATTCACGTTATCCTAACGGTGTTCCTTGCTATGATTCACGTTATCCTAACGGCGTTCCTTGCTATGATTCACGTTATCCTCACGGTGTTCCTTGCATGCTATGATTCACGTTATCCTAACCGTGTTCCTTGCTATGATTCACGTTATCCTAACGGTGTTCCTTGCTATGATTCACGTTATCCTAACGGTGTTCCTTGCTATGATTCACGTTATCCTAACGGTGTTCCTTGCATGCTATGATTCACGTTATCCTCACGGTGTTCCTTGCTATGATTCACGTTATCCTCACGGTGGTCCTTGCTATGATTCACGTTATCCTCACGGTGTTCCTTGCTATGATTCACGTTATCCTCACGGTGTTCCTTGCTATGATTCACGTTATCCTCACGGTGTTCCTTGCTATGATTCACGTTATCCTAACGGTGTTCCTTGCTATGATTCACGTTTTCCTCACGGTGTTCCTTGCTATGATTCACGTTATCCTAACGGTGTTCCTTGCTATGATTCACGTTATCCTCACGGTGGTCCTTGCTATGACTCACCTTATTCTAACGGTGTTCCTTGCTATGATTCACGTTATCCTCACGGTGGTCCTTGCTATGATTCACGTTATTCTCACGGTGTTCCTTGCTATGATTCACGTTATCCTGACGGTGTTCCTTGCTATGATTCACGTTATCCTAACGGTGTTCCTTGCTACGATTCACGTTATCCCAACAGTGGCCCCACCCGCACTTTACTGACAGAATCACCAAGGAATTATTTAATACCCCGATGTTCATGCGCACTCGTGAAATGAAATTCTGACTCCTGAAGTAAATATCTCTAAATTGCACTGTCTGTAAAATATACGACTGTCTGCCATGTGGTGCGCCGTTAATACGATATAATATTACTTTTCACGTATAGAGTTCATTGTTTTAATCAAAAATAGCAGGATGAAAAAAAATACATTGTAATATGGAGAATGCATGAGATAATTATTACAACCCACATTTGCACGGTTTTATAAGTAAGGTGAATATATAATGTAATTCCCCTTTGGAAGCTCGGTCATTCACACAGTTTAGCCTTCTCTCTATGAAGCGAACACGCAGCAGTCATTCCCCAGTGTATGATTGGAATACAATACTATTGACATGGAGACAATCATGCACGCGCCACGTATATATTTGTGGAATATTCGCAACTACTAATCTGTTATACACATCTATCATCAATGTTCCTGTCAAACTAAATGGTATGATTCTGTCGAGATAACGTCACTGAAGTTCCCAGTAACAATTTTATCGTCAGTTTAATCAGTAAATGCGATTATCTGTGAATTCTAGAATACCTGGCATACTCGCATGATTTGACCGACGTGGAATATATAAATAGTCGTAAAGTCAGATAATTGCAGCGTACCTTGGATCTGTTAGCTTAAGAGATATTGCATGTGATGGTTACGGATTATGTCCGATGCTGATGGTTGGCCCTTGGCAGGTTTAAGATTGTGGAACGTGGCCAGTTGGTTTGCACTATTTCCGATTTCCAAGAACACATAACGTGAACAAATATTTGTAAAACTTGGTCCGTTTTCGCCATGTTAATAATAGTAACCCAATAGAGTGGTGCTATGAACTCTTGTGCGCTCAAATTGCTCTTAATATTATGTGGTTTGTTTACAACAAATGTATTCCAATATGATCACTAGACGAGGAAGGTCTGTTCAGAATGACCTCAGTTAGCAGGGGAGTCAATACATGTACATCACACACAACGTCAAAATGGCTGACACGATCGACGTGACGGGACACATTTCTAAAGTTGTTGATTAACCTGTGGGGATTACAAGTGCTAGTCATCACTGATTAATTAGGCGTCACAAAACGATAAGTATAAACGTAAAAGTAGGGTATAATTCGATATTTTAAGTCACTGATGTCATGCGAACTGCTTTATACCTGAATAGTTCAAGATTTAATTTTTGTGTACTTGCACTGAACATATGTATACTAGGCGTCATTGATAAAGGGTCAACTGATATATAGCACATGTAAAGAAAAGTTTCTCAGAAATAATAGAACTAAGAGTGTCATCATAATGTGTTGACAAACGTGACACGTCGTGACATACAGACAAAAAGTTCAAAAAGCATTAGCAAACATCAGTTGTATCACATGACCCCCCAAACGAAAATGACAAACATGAAGCTCTCGGTCATTCAATATCTTGTGTACCCTCCTCGTGCGTCCAAGACACAGGTGCACCTTGTTCTCATGCTCCTTATCAAGTTCATAAAGAAAGTTTGCGGAATCGCATTCCATTCCTCTACTAGAGCTCTGGAGTCCTGGGAGATCCACTTGGCTAACCGATCTTAGCCCCACGCCAAACGTAACCCCCAAAATCCCAAGCTTAGAGCGACGTTACGATCAGCATACCGTTCCACTAACCGATCTTACCCAAGTCAATCGTAAAGTTAAGATCCAAAGTCTAAGTTGCTCATAACAAACTTAGGGTCGCTGTTTTCAATCGTAGAGAAAACAAAATGGCGGCTTTCATTATTCTATGTGAAGAACATAGAAATAGAGAAGAGAGCCAACGCTTTTACCACAAGGCTACCACACCGCTCCACTGACGTAAGAAGCAATCACCATATATAGCTAGAAATAAATAGCGGTGTGTAAAACATTTCAT